CAAGTCGATTAGAATAGTGAATTAAAATTATCAAAATGTAGCAAAAAAAAACTTGCTGATTAGGAAAATAGAAAAAAAAACCGTGATTTTGTCGGCGGCTAAACCCCATCCTTAATATCTAGTTCCCCCGCTCTATATGCGGCGTCACAGAGAACACATTTCCAGGATTAGTATAATTGTGCGACGAGTTTAGGATGCTAATTTCTTAGACTTATTTGAATGGTCTTTCTAAAGAAAGGGATTAAGCGAAATGAGACATTTTTGAGGAACTTGTGACTTTTAGTGTTAAGAAGACCATTTGTGCTTTAATGAAAAAAATTACTAATTTTTTCTAATATTAAAATATCCAAGCACGGCCATTTCCTAAACAATTTGTTCCATAAAAATCTTTTCATCTATAATATCCTCTATTTTTTTTTTCTCTCTTGCTTAGTCATCACTTTGCATTTGTGATTGTTACATGGAAAGTGCCAATTCAATTTCACGTGGACCTACAAACATATGTCTTTGGATTTATGGTGAAGTTATAAGAAGATTAAATATATTGCGATGAGAAAGTTCCAAGAGAAAGATATTCATTGTCATGCTAAATGTAAAAAAAAAAGTGAAATATGTCGATCGTGGGCGATTCTTTCGGTGATTTTTCCCAATAATAAAAGATTAAGGATTTACAAAATTTAGATAAGAGCGATTAGAATACACATAATGTATTTTATTTATTCTAACATAGTATCCTCGCATGTCACGAATTCGCGGCTAGTTGTGAATATAAATTTAAGAAAAAAATTAAAAGAGAGCTTGAACGAGCGACACGTGTCCGTCCCGAAACCCTCTCTTGGTCTATTTTTTTTTTACAGTGCTTTTGTTTTTTCTTTCCTCCATCGTCCTTTTCACTAAATTCAAAACACACCACAGACTTGCTATCTATCTTAAGCTCAATTTGTCCCTGCTCGCAGGTCAAGAGATTCTTGCTAGGGTTCTTTTAAGATAATGTAAATAATATACTTAATTACGAGAGTTCCTCAAGATTCTAATGGGCATTCTGTTTAAAAAAAAAGCAAAAATTCTCCCCAAGAAAAGGTAAAAGAAAATTCGAAATTAAACCAGCGAGATGCTTGATAAATGTCGGAGAAAGAATCGAAAGCTTTTGCTGAAAGCTATGTTGAGAGAGAGCCACTTGTGGAGACGAATATTGCCTGCTTCTTTTGAAGGTCACGTTTTCAGGAACTAGAAGACCCAAATTTCATTTTCATTGGGTTTGGCATAACGACAAAAAAGAGGTAATTAGAGGTTACTAAACAAGTTTTTTTTCGATAAGTAATCGATCATCGGGCCGGGCAGACCTACGCGGGCCACCCGAGAAGGAAATCACGTGCCCGTTTCGACCTTTCCGGCCGATCGAGCTCGGCCGGGTCTAAACGGGTCCGCCGAACTACCACCCACCGATTAATCAGGTCTATTACCAAACAGTACCACGATTTCGAGGGACAATAATTTTTTCCAAGCAGTCAACTTGGATTCTCAAAATCTTGGCCATAACCCGGAATCCCCTACAACCCTATACGCCTTTAGGGCTAATAAAGAAACTTAAAGGTGATCCATTCTTTTTAATTTACCCAAAAGCTATGATTTTAAAAAAGTCCATTTTGAGAAAGGTGATGGCATATGATTTAGAATATGCGCCAATGTGGATGCTGGATAGTGGGGATGTGGGAACTGATTTCTTTATTGGATACGGCTAGAAAGGTTAGCAACAAGCCAGCGAATGACGTGGTCGTGCACGATATCCAATGGAAGTGGAACAACAACATCGGATTCTTTGGGACGATGAAGAAGAACATCCTCAGTGTTTGGATCAGCAAAGGCTCCAAGAATACAAGCCACTTCAAAAAGAACATATGATCGGCATATGCATGCGCAACGCCTCTAGGTTAAGTCGCTGGAGATACCATCCGTTTTGGCCCGTTCCGTACCGAGCCTCACGATTTTGTCCTTGCTCATTTCGGTAGTGCTCTCACCCGAACGTGCTTAACATTAGAGCTCCAATTCTGAGCATTGCCATTATGTCCAAAAACGTTTCCGGCTTCGCATGTATGTCACGGGACCGCTCTCCATCCATTCGGTACACAATTCGGTTCGTTCGTGTTCCATTCGCCAACCTAGAAACCTGCTAGAAGCCGTTCCTTGTTGGGGTCTTGCGGCCCGGCGAACACTCGCTGCTCTCGTCGAACTGGATTGTTACAGCATGCCGTTCACATGTTCGTCTTTTTTCTCTATTTGCAGCTAGGGTTTTCTTGTTTTGAGCGAGGAGGTGGGCTGTTGATCCGTATCATTAACTTATCTTTTGCTTTCGATCAATATATTTTAGGGAAAGGTGGGCGTGAGTTGATTGTGGATGAGAGATTTTGTGCCCAAAAAAATCTCATATTTTGATTGTAGCTATTTTTAATTGAATTACGCATGACGTGGAAACAGAAAAATAGAATGTTCGTAGCTATCTTTATGATAATTTGGGGTGCACGTGTCACACGTGCATGATGCTAGTGCGTGAATAAAAAAAAGCCTAATACCCTAAAAAACCTTCGATGTTAGTTCCGATCCAAATTTTATCCTAAACTTTTTTTCGTCTCATAAAAAACCCCCCAATTTTTTGTCAAGTCTCAATTCCACCCTAAATTTTTTTTTTGTATTATGAAAAACCACACATCTTTTACTTGAGTTCTACATCTGCCTCTATTCACCCTTCTTCCAAAATTGCCCTTAGTGATGTAGCATTTCCACATCAGTGTTCTAGTTTTTATCCCAAATTTCATATCCACTTAGAGGTCGTTTTGGCTAACATGGAAATTCATCTCCAAAAAACCGTCTAGTTGGATATGAAATTTGGGTTAAAACGGGAGCACTTAAGGTTGGTTTTCTTTAATTGCTCTTACTCTTAAAAGAGTCTTCCTTCCATTTCGCTCGGGATCTTCGATTTTGCGCTTAGTTTTCAATCTCTCATACTCAGGAGTCTTCCATCTCTTGTGATCGAAGAGATCGCGCTAGAGACGTTTGGCTCGGGATGCTCGAACAGCTTGTGCTCAAGATTTTTGAGAATTTGGACAGAGGATTAACGAAGGTAGATATGGTACTCGAGTATAAGTTGGTAGTTTTTTATGAGATAAAAAAAAGTTTAAGGTAGAGTTGAGACTAGACCTAAAATTGGGGATTTTTTATGGGATAAAATTTTTTTTAGTAAAATTGGGACTAGACCTAAAGTCGAGGTTTTTTAGGATATTAGTCCTAGAAAAACACTTTGATATAGCTAACCTAAGCTTTGTACATTTTAGGCCCAATGTTGCACACGTGGGCCATTGTTTGGGCCAGAAACATGAGGCTGACCATGAGGCTTTTTAATCTCATCGCGTACAAATTTTCCTCTCAATGACACTTAAAGGTGGTTTGTCTAAACCTAGAGAAAATTCATCGTTATGCTCACAAAACGTGATGTGATACCAGCAAAGTCAGACCAGTAGTGCACATATTCCAAAAATATAAAATAAAATAAATTCACGGCCATCGCGAAAATGTCCTTAACAGGAACCCATTCGGTACAACTAGGGCTGTCAAATGGGTGGGTCAAGTCGGATTTTGGTTGGGCAAAAAATGGTTGGACCCAAAATGACCTATTTAGATGCAACACAAATTTAGTGACCTATACCTCACCCGACACAATTACTATAATACTTCCATATTTAATCCAATCTTTGAAAATTCATATCCACCTAGTTAACTCACTTTAAACTTTCTATGTGTATATAGTATTTGGATATAATCGTTAGTTGACATTGCATAGAATTTTGAAGTTTGTATTGATTCACAATGAAGAATAAGAGAAAGTTGATATTTTGTAGTGAATTTATAAAATTACAGCAACAAATAACGTAGTAGGAATTGAAATTTTAATTAAATGGAATGTAAGATATTGAAGAAAATGATTTATGCTTACCAGGGATTGCAATGACAGGAATCAAGATTAGAATATTAAATAAAGATAAGAATGCCAAATGCAATCAAGGAAATATATACTCCAATAACTAACAGACGAAACTTACAAGATTAATAAAAAAAAATAATGGGGAAAAATGAAGCCGTCTTGATATTTAGGCTGGAGTCGAGCCCATTTGGCGGGCCTACCAAGACTACTGTGAACTTGGAACAATCCAAGAAGTTCATTATTTTATCATAGAGGGTGAAGAGTGAATCACAAAGGTGAGTAAGGTTTGGGTAAACTGTGAACCCATCTAACATCATATTTTTTTTTGAGCTTTTCTATTTTAAATTCATTCATGATCCATTTACTGAACATACAACTCCTCAAATATGGGTTAAAAAGTGCATCTATGACCCATTTTGATACGTATAAGTAATAATGAGTATAGTTGCGATGGTCCTTAAAAGTGCAGCATTTTACACCCCGTAACTTTTCCTCGGCCAGGCTTGGTCAAACTAGCCGAGCAAAGTCAAATTATTAGTAACGTGTTTGCTCGCGGTGATTGTAGCCTCTCCGGAGAATCGATGACCACGATTTCGATGCACCTGCTACTTGTCGGTACCAGTACATCTGGAAATTCTTAATTGGTTAGTTGTAAGTAGCCCCACCCTAGGATCATGGAACAAAAAATCTCACCCCGCACCTACACCGAGATATCGACCGCGATTCTCAAATATCGGAGAACGGAACGTGATTCGACCAGACCAAAATGCAATAGAAACAAGGCAATGGTACCTTGCAAGTTACAACAAACAAACAAATGCATGAAACTATGGTTTTTTAAATCGACCAATACGCTGCGTCTCGTACGCGGACGGGACCCGCGCGCCACGTCAGCGGATCCGCCCCTCGAGCCCATCGCGATCTTCTTGTCCGAACCCGACCGCTCGGCCAATGGCACGCGGCCACGTGACCCGCTCACACCACTGTCCGAGCGCGATGTGCGAAACACCGTAGACAAGCTCTCCGCTATCGGTTTTCCTCCGCTGTTTTGGCTTCCGCTCGGCTGTCGGAAGAACCTCTCACGCTCCGCTTATCTCCGCCGTCGTCGTCTTCTTCGTCTCCCTCTCTTCCTTCCTTCTCGGAGGCTCTCCTGCAGCTCCTTCCATGGCGTCCGTGCTCAACACCGTCGTGGCGGTCGCATTCCCCGGCGCCAGCGCCGCCGGAGCTCGAGCTCGACTGTCTCCGGCGCCAATTTCCGTTTCCTTCACCCGTGAGCCTCCCGTCTCTTAAGATTAACACCGCTCGGACGCGAGTGTTTCTGTACTCCGTCGAGAGCCGTCGCCGTAGGATTCGGACGAGGACTCGCCGGCGATTTTTTTTTTTTTTTTCTTCGTCTTCGAATTGGATGTTTGAAGTGTCGTTTGATTGTCTGCTGTGCGCGACTGTGGTTGAGCCTCGACGGTTTAATGCGTGAGCGCGCCTGATTGATGTTGCGAATTGATGTTCTGTTCAGGACGAAGGCTTACCGTTAGAGCTGCAGAGACTGATACAAACGAAGGTGCCTGCGAAATCTCTTAATTATGTGTATTCGAAGTTTCTCGCTGCGTCGAGTTCCATGTCCAGCAGAAATGTTGATGGATTTTCTCAAGTTGAATGTACTGTGGCAGTGAATCCTCAGGTGCCGGACAAGGCACCGGCTAAAACCGGTTCCAGCTTCAACCAGCTTCTTGGCATCAAAGGAGCCTCACAAGAAACTGTGAGTCTTTGCGTACCGAATGTTTATTTATTGGGTGATGGCCAATGCGAATCCTGCTATCGGAGTGAGTCTCATTTCAGTGACTTTTGACTGCGAATTTGTGTTATGATGCCTGGAAGTAGTTGGATATTCAGAAATTGTTTGCTTTGATGTTTTCTTTCTCCAAGAATTATGGAAATAAGGTAATATCTCAGTTAGCGTCGGACCTAAATACTGCAAGATGAACCTTTCAGAATAAATGGAAGATTCGCCTTCAACTTACGAAACCTGTGACTTGGCCTCCATTGGTCTGGGGAGTGGTTTGTGGAGCTGCTGCTTCGGGTATGTCTAGCAGTCTCAAAATGAAGTTGTTAACACCTCCAGTACTTATTGCTATCTTGTCATGCTAGTTGGTACCAAAGATGTCATATTTACCTGCACATGGTTCTCATATCTCTAAACTCCTTCAAGAGCAGTTTACATTTGTATTTTATGTGGAAAGCTCTTACGTGGATCTTTAATGTCCCTGCTCTAACGAATCCATAGTCAGTGTGATAATGGTGGTCTCTGATCATGTCGGATGTCCAATACTGTAAGACGTAAAGAGCATTTGACAGCGGTTTTCAGAACTCATTCATTGCTATGAAATCAAATAGCTAATTCCTCTGTCCTGATTTAAATGTCTCACTTCTGTTGTGCACAAAAAAGTTCTGACTTTTTGAATTGCGTTCTTCCAGTTCTTCTTTGATCACTTCTTTTTAAACTCAATGTTACGCATGAAATGGAATTTATTGCTGACTTTTTATTGTTTGTTCCCTCATGATATACCAAAAGAAAGGGAATAAAGATGTTAAACATCAAGCTGAGGCAATGGCTCATGTATATAATTTCATTTTTCTTCTTAAATCGTTAATTAGTTATAATCTGATACAAGAACCTTTCCGACGATCCAAAGAAAATAAGGAATTACACCTTCTAATGCCGACCAGTCAAATGAACTCTATTGAATCCCAAGATGCCTTGAAATATCAATTTCAGTAATGATGCTGTGGAACTTGAGCAACTATTTACAAATTGCAATAACTATATCATGCAGGAAACTTTCATTGGAATCTGGAGGATGTGGCCAAATCAATTGTTTGCATGATGATGTCAGGCCCATGTCTCACAGGCTATACACAGGTACCTTTTGAACATTTGAAATTCATCAAAACATTGACACAACATGTTCTCAAACTCACAGGATTTATCTTTCTGCTCACATGGCATCTCTAGACAATGAACGATTGGTATGATCGAGAAATTGATGCTATTAATGAACCTTATCGTCCGATTCCATCGGGGGCAATTTCTGAGAATGAGGTTCGTGATTTCACCGATTGAGTTATATCTAGAAAGTGACAACGACACCATTTTATCTGACTATTATTCCATACCAGGTTATTGCTCAAATCTGGGTGTTGCTCTTAGCAGGCCTTGGCTTGGCTGGTATATTAGATGTATGGGTAAGTGATTTACTTTTGTGCCAAATTGTTTCATTTTCCTTTCTATTTAAGTAAAGCAAATAGTGGTCAGTTTCTGAATCCATGTTCTCTATAGGCAGGGCATGATTTTCCCATAGTTTTCTACCTTGCTGTTGGCGGTTCATTGCTATCGTACATATACTCTGCTCCACCTTTAAAGGTAGTTCTTCAAGTTATCTTTTGCTTTTATCTCTTTTTATGAACTGATAATCATATGTACTTTAGCTATTGTTCCTAAGTGAGACATCTACATGGTTTCAGCTCAAGCAAAACGGGTGGATAGGAAATTTTGCTCTTGGAGCAAGCTATATCAGCTTGCCATGGTGTGTACCTCTCTTTTCGGCTTTTCATTTTTTATGTTCATCGACACTAATAATGGAATAGCATTCAAGAAAGTACCTATAAGCTTGGTTTTTCTAAGTAAATTATGAGGGATTGGCTATCCAATGAAAAGCCAATGCCTTGAGTAATGGAATAGATGGGTAAACACGGAAGTCAAAAAGGTTCATAAGTATCCTTCGAATTGAGACTAAATGTGGCTGTGTGTCCCCCTCCATGATTTTGTGTTAAAACATGATAAAGAGCAACTTGTTTTTATAGTCCCCTCACAGCACGTGGGGGAAGGGTTAAACATCTTTATTAGGTACATTCTGATTCAAGTTAACAAGTTCCTGTTCTCTTCTGGCTGATAGGTGGGCTGGTCAAGCTTTATTTGGGACCCTTACACCTGATATAGTCGTGCTGACTCTCCTGTATAGCATAGCAGGGGTATGTTTCCTTGGGAAGTATTGCCAACTGCAGTATGAAATCTGTATTTTTTTTTAGGCAACCAGTGCATATTGGCAACCATAGTTTACTGTTACTTTCTGCTTTTCTCAGCTGGGGATTGCCATTGTAAATGACTTCAAAAGCGTGGAAGGAGACAGGGCAATGGGCCTTCAGGTTTTTTTTGTTGTACAGTTTTTTAGGAAGCTCTGCTTATGTAAACAATGGTAAACATTCTTAAGATGTTTTTTTTTTCTTTTCACAATCTCTCTGCTTTGAACAGTCCCTTCCAGTGGCTTTTGGCGCTGAAACTGCAAAATGGATATGTGTTGGTGCCATTGACATAACTCAACTATCTGTGGCTGGTATAGCACCAATTCTCTAGAACATATAGCTTTTAAACTGAATATTTTTTTACTGATATTGTTATTTCGAATCAAATTAATAGCATCATGCATGTAGATCAGTGCACTATCTCCTAGTACGATTTTCAGAAGGATGGCTGACACGTTGAAAAATGAACTTAGATTTGTTCTGTTGTGCTGTTTTGAATTGGTTAATTAGTCAACTTCCATGCACTGAACGTGGCTAAGCTTCATTTGAGAATCATTTCCATGATCCATGACCAAACCTTTACCAATTCAAACGCTTTATAACTATCACCCTCCTTTTAGATGTTTAAAGCAGAAAGTTGTACAGTAAACTATTTATGCAAAAGTTTTCCAACTTTTCTACGCAGTAAAAAGATAAACTTAACTATTAGCAAGATGGATCAATGCAAACGGTCATTCTGCTGTGTCGATGTTAGTCTGCAATATTGCTAATACTCATTTCGAACTGGATTGTAATATGGTTTAATGTGATGATAAGCGTTCAATTTTGTTCAGTACATCACAATGTGGCAGAGTTGTTATGTCAAAGGGGACAAGTTCTGCAAATATCGGTCATTCGTTCTTTCTATATAGTGTATGTCGCTCTATACCAGTGTGGCAAAAATATGTCTGTCTTACAAGCACCCTCCATTAGTATGTTATATTCTCCTGCCAGGAACTTGTCTAGCAGCAATCAATATTGGACAGACATCTTGCGAGTGGTGAAATCAATATAAGTAGGACCACATTAGATATCTTTGTACCATTTGACGAATTCAGTGTGATCAATAAGCAGGTCAGAATGCTCTTATCATTTGATTCAGTGAGTCCATTGGACAATAAAGAAAATTAGCTTAGATGTGACCCATGTGAGTGATCTGAAATAGATGATTGAACCTAGTATTAGATCATTTGTGGTCCTTGGTAACATCAACTGCCAAATCATTAGTGTTGAGATTCTTGAGAAGAATTAGTTTAATAATTTGAACAAAAAGCTATGTCAGGGTCCATTTGTTAAGATAAGGTACCCAGAAGAAACAAAAATGTTGAGGAGTTCAATATAAATGTAGTGGAAGAGGTAGAGATATTAACCTGAATCTGCTTCTGCTGTTACGGGATCAAACTATCTGCGTCGGGCCTAGGAGTGCTCCTAAGATCATAGAAGGCATTCATATTCTCTGACCCGGTGGAAGGGAACATGGGATGCTTTGAGCATTCATAATGTTCAAATTCTTTATCTTGTTGAACTTCTTAGAATTTCTTTTCTTATTTAAAAATAATTTCTCCAGGTTATCTGCTCGGGGCTGGAAAACCATTATATGCTTTGGCTCTCCTTGCTCTCATAGCTCCACAAGTTGTTTTTCAGGTAAATACCAATATATTAAAGTTGTGAGAGATTGTATCTTGACAGAGATGATGTTCCTTTGAAGTGTTCTTTCCAAGCAAATACTAAAAATATGTTCATAAATCATCTGCTTCCTCCTACTGAAATGAGGCCTAGCTAACCTTGAATGTTCATGTCCAAATATATTGTTCTAGGCCTCCTTTTGAGACTAATTCTGCTTGGAAGATTGTCTAAACTTTCTTCCTTGCAAAAATCACTCTCCGGCACGAGTTTAAATGGAAGCATCAGTTTATTCACCTCGCAGTGCTTCCTATGCTTTCTAATTCTTCTGCATGTGCTTAGGTGTCACAGTCTCACACAAATAACTATATATTGTCAGAAAATGCTTTGCAAGCATCAAATGTTACATATTATCTTTTCGAGAACTGGTCATTTTGATTTAACTCGTGATTGTGGTTTGCTGATACTTCTCATTTTGGTGCAGTTTCAATACTTTTTGAAAGACCCTGTGAAGTATGATGTAAAATATCAGGTAATGTTTCGCTCATCTGTATTGTCTGAAATTAGGAAAATAGTTGGTGAATTGAGAAACTAAATAGCTATAACGGTGCTTCGGTTGTTTGACTGCTCTCTATTAGTTTTGTCATTCTACAGGATTGTCTTTGTTCCTGTCGGATGAGATAGACATGTATCTAGCTGATATCAGTGCTTTGTCAACTTTTGTGATTAATAGCATTACGATTTCTAATGTCCTGAATGTTCACTGAGAATGGTAGTCAGGTCACTCAAGTCAGCATCGAGTTCCTAGAGCGAGCAATGTCGTCCTGTGAACTAATTCTGGCACTGGATATCATCTTGTTAACGACTGCAGTTTTTAACAGCCACCTATAGCGCATTGTGGATTGTAATTCTATATAGAGTGGCATTTTTAACTAAACTACTGCATCTATATAATAATTTCAGGCTAGTGCACAGCCATTCCTTGTGCTCGGTCTGCTGGTCACTGCTTTGGCAACCAGCCAATGATCACTCTATAGTCCATGAAGCCACTATCCGAGAAGTATGGGAGTCCGCATGGAGGAAGAGCTAGCCACCGATTGCATTGTCACGAACATTACATTCCGGTGAACTAGAAAAGGCTCAGTGCTTGTTCGAAATGATTTCCAGGTTTCCTCCAACTGCGTCATTTCCTACAAATGAATTCGCTCTATGGTGACTGATTTTCTCTATGTTTTGCCTGCATAGTCATAACGATTCCTAGATTGGGGTCGTCCTTTGTGGATGTAATTTTGTTTTTCCTTCCTGTAATTTCCTTTCTTCTTTTGCTATCCACTAGTTTGTTCCTCGTTTGGGATCGTACACCGTTGGAGTTGTACTTTGTCAAAACTGGCCAGACAGTGTCTTCTGATTTTCCATGTTTAGAGCCTAGAAAGATTGGCACAATATTGCTACACTTTTATAATTTAAGTTTTCGATTTGTGAATGCAAGCCATATGGTTGAACAGTTTTAGTTTGACTGAAAATTTGTCTGCCATCATACTTGATCCCTCACCTGGACAATAGATCATCGGTTTTACCTAGTCTCCGAATCAATATCAACAGACTCGAGCATGAGCTGCAATCTCCATCTCAATGAAATCATCAGTCAGCAGTCCTTGGCACATAATCGAGATATTGAGTCTTTGGTTTCCAGTTCTACGACTTTCATGATATCCGAGATTATGTCAATTGTCGCCGCCATCATTATACTTTTGTTGCTAAAAGCAGTTCGTGGGATTTAGACAGACAGTTTATCTCCTCTTTACCAAAAGAGTCGCCGCTTCTTTGCATTTGACAACAGAAAGGCTTTATCAGATCCGGCCGATAAATCAGACATTTCAGAGCCGACTCCAGAACTCTTCAACTAGTAGATTTCTCACCTTATGCAGTAGCAAAGACAAAGCAACGGTTTCATTAAGGACCTGCCCCAAGTCTCCTTTTCTCTTCTAAACACCAAATTCAAAGTACAAACAATGGTCTAAAGCACCACCTGGAGGACAATTGGTTGACAAATTGCTTCTTCAAGCAATCTTAAAATTCAGGTATCCTGAACGAAGAGTACGAACTATGTAAACGGCAGAGACTCTTTTAAACACTCACATAATCTGTTTCGATCAAAAGACCAAATTAAAAAGTAAAAGTTGTGATTCTGTCACTTTTCGAGTTCGATCCCACATTTCATAAATCATCTCAGAATGATGCATGTTGAAATCTAGTTTTCCTTCAAGATTGACTACCCCACATTTCATAAATCATCTCAGAATTATGCATGTTGAAATCTAGTTTTCCTTCAAGATTGACTACATGGACAAAGAGGTCAAACTCAGCATAAATTTGATTTTAAACACTCAGTAATCTTTACCGAGTCAACCTTAATTTTAAAACTAGCACTGCCATTAGCCAACGATAGATCAGCTAGTGCCATGGACAAACGATAGCTTCTTCTCCAAAGTAATGATGACAGACCGAAGAAATCTAGAGTTGAAGTACTAGCAATGTACACGCATAATTTAGAATAAAGATTGAGCGTGGAACTCAAATTGAATCAAAGAGCAAAGTACATGCTTTTAATTTTATTCCATCCCCGTCAAAACTTTTAGAAAGCTTGCCAATTGGATAAATCATGTTTTTACAATTCAAAATCACTGATGACCTCGTCTAGCTAAATGGTGTTCATCTAGATAATTGGAAAGAAGATAATCTAATCAAATAATCGATTTGACTACCTACTAAATGGCCACAAAGACGAGAAAAGAGGACTAACGTCAATCAATGACTAGACCGGCGCATTTCTGAGAAATTTCCTCTCATAGACTCCGGTCACCTGATCTGCGACAGCCCACATAATGGCCTGGCCGGGCGGGATTCTCATGAGCCGAGGCAGGAGTCCCTTCCACAAAGCGAGAAGCCCTTCCTCTTTAAAAATTGTTTGGATGGCATGAACCATGCCCTTGTACTTCAACTCTCCACCATGTCGAGTTTGAGCCATCAACCTCGTCTTGACAACATCGAAGGGCCCAGTGCACACAGGACCTGCAGTTCCTGCGAGGAATCCAGAAACCATGGACTGCCATGGTTGGAGGACCTTGCCATCGCCCTCATGCTTATTCCATAATAGCACATCGAAAGCGTTCTTCGCTGTAAACATAGCGGCCTGGTTGGTCCCATTGCGCATGACCGTTGGTGCAGCCCCTGACCACAGCCCACGAAGGCCTTCTTCACGAATGATAGTCCGGGCACAATGAATAGGACCCTTGTACTTTAAAAGCTCCGGACTTAAACCTCTTTGTTGCTGCAATCTGATCTTAACAACCTGCAAATGACCTCATGAGTTAGCGCCCACGCAATACATGTAATTTACAGAACAACCAGTAAATGTAATTATTACACAGCATGAACCTTTTCAGCAATAAACTCAAGTAGAACAACACCAAGAGCGTCTGCATTTACTAATTGCTAAAATTTACAATGTTACTTACTACATATTTATTTAATCCAGGTGAACTTCTCTAACAGACAAGCAAATAACGAGTCTGGCCCTACAAAAGAACCTGCAAAATTTCCATGTACTCTACTTTAACATGAAAATGGCTAATTATTTCTCCACTCGTTCTCCTTAAATTTGATGCTAATCTCAAAGGAAAAGAGAGTATCCCTATTTCTGTACATCTTGGTGGTGATGGAATAAAAGCAGTAGGAAGGATTACATGGTTATAATCCTTTCAAGTTATAGAGGGGATGCAGCCTTCCTAGCATGCATCCCAACTCTCAGTCCCGAAGGTTGGCTCAAGTAATAAACACAGATTCTGCAACAGAATCTAGTGAACTTGGCCCAACTATGGAGCATTACAATAATCCATTCAGATTGACTTCCATCTTCTTAGTCTTCACTGTACTGCGCTTGCAAAAGGGATGGCATTTTAAAAATGAAAGCAGGAAACCACTAACAAGGATTTTAGAAGAGAAGATACGGGTACCAGCATTGACTCAAATGTTATAAGACAACGCTACAAAAGCACCAAGCATTGACTCAAAAGCTTCACCCTCCATTTGAATTAGCGACGTTGCAGCAGGATCAAGATGCCATTTTTAAACTACAAACAGCAAAATTGAGCTCATCTAATCCTTTCAGCCGTACAATTCCTAACAAATAAGCCCGCATCCCAGGCTACCCAGAAACAAACCCCCAAACCAATCACATTCCCACTTCAACTGCTGACCTCAAATGGAGTGACGATCACGAGAGCCTCGAGCACCCCGGCGCCGAAGCCGGACAAGAGCCTGGCCTTGTTGGTGAGCTTCCCGGTCTCCGGGTCCTTGAACGCCGACTGGAGCATGGCGTTCGACCCCATCCGGAGCGTGTACTTGAGCGTCAGGTGCGTCGCGAACGGCGTGAGGCCCTTCCACAGGGCCCGGACGCCCTCGGTCCTGGCGATGGTGGCGCCGCAGTGGGCGATCCCCTTGTAGGCGCCGGACTTGTCGAGCTGGAGCCGCGTCTTGATGACGTCGATCGGCTGGAGGCAGCACGCCTCCACCGTGCCCCCGAGCGAGCCCGAGATCGCCTTCATGTAGGTCGGGATCGTGCGCTTGTTGCGGTCGGAATCGGAGGTGGGTCGCGGCTCGCCGGCCATGGCGGCTGACCCGATGTTCCGATAGGATAGGGGTTGACCAGAGCTCGGTGGCGGCCGGCTTATATAGAAGAGAGAGAGAGGAGTGTCGAAATTCGTCTTCTCCACTTGTGCGCCGCTCCCTCCGTCCCTTCCTCCCTCCGGCCGGCTCTCTCGCCGGCGGCGGCGGCGTCGACCTCGGGAGCTTCCAGGGAGCGGCGGAGATGGAGGTGGCGGAGAGAATTTTTGCGCAGCGTATTTAGCGACTTTCGAGGAGTGGTGGGAGTGAAGAAAGAGACAACTCGAGAGAGATTCCGTGGTTGGTGGCTTGTCTGGCGACAGATGGGTTGCTCGCGGTGGCGACGGTTCCTTTCTTGCAAATTCCTCTTGATTTTTCCCTAAATACGCATACGCATACGCATGTGGTCGGACTGTATTTATACTTTAATTAGTTCTATGGTAGTATTTAGAGGTGATCGGTTCCAGCGAGGGTAGATTCCATAACTTGCTAGAACCGATTCTCTGTTTTTGGAACTTGGTCTGGCTCCAGATCTACCCATCAACCTGTTTTCTTTTTTTTGTTCTTTTTCGTTTCATTTTTTTACAGCAAAATAATATGAACAACAAAGCGATTTGAGGTAAAAAATGAATGATGACGAGGCTAGAACGAGCAACGGCGAGCCACAAGCAAGCAAGGGGGAGGGTGAGTTGCGAGAGAGCGAGAGCGGGAGAGAGGTAAAGTGTCGGAGTGAGGTTGGAGAGAACAGAGAAAAAGAGAGAGATGGAGAAAAAGATGTCAAGAGAAAAATTAGGTTTTTACGTTTATGAAACCGGTTCCAAATTCGGTTCGATCGATCCGGTTTTGAAGTGGTTTTTCATTTGGAATCGAAAACCGGATCGGTTCCAACGAAAACCTGAAATTGGACCATTTTCAAGATGGTCTGGTCCAATTCCCAGATAAAAACGGTCCAGCTGCACAACTAGACATGGCCATGGGCCGATTTCGGCCCGGGTCAAACCCGGGATCGGCCCCGTTGACCGGGCCCGCAGTTTGGACCCGGCCCGTGGCCCGTTCTCCCAATCAATTTGCTAAATTCTCTCAATCCACTCGAAAAATGGCAAGTGGAAGTCAAGCGGCAATTGGCAAAGGTAAGAATAGAATGACGGAATCCGAACATTCTTTTGATCCTCGTGATTATGCAGATTTTCAAGATGATGAAATCAATATTTTTCCCGATGTGGAGCGCGTCCCAACACAAGAAAGTCTTCATGCCGTCAACAACAAAGGAGGCGGAGCAGAACTTACATCCGACATTTGGAACCACTTCACGAAAACGGAAAGATTTGATATTGGTCCAAAAATGTATGATATAATTTGTAAACATTGTGGGGCAATATATAAATATACAAGTGGACAACGTTCAAGATTAGTTTCGAAATCAGTGGAGGCTCAAGCTTGCGTCGATGATTGGACGAAGACTCAATATCGACAACAAGAGATAGATCGGAATAATGAATTCGAATTCTTTGACGACGGAGATACCACTACTACCGATACTGGTATCGGTATCGGTATCGGAACGGGTATCGACGACTAAGGGTAAAAGAACTACATGGATTTTGATTCTTCTATCCCCAAGAAAATATGTAAGGCGCTTAATGATAATTCATTAAGTTCAAGCCCCATCTCTTTCTCTCTTTTTTTCCTCAAATTTGATTATAATGTACATTTTGATTATATTTTATATTGAATAATTCATTATTTCATAATTTGATAATTCATTATTTTTTTATTTCATAATTTATTTTTTTAATTTTTACCAGCCGATTCCGAACCGAGCCGAAACTGGAACCGGCCCGGAACCGCCAGTTCATACATGGCCACGAACCGGAACTGGCCAGTTCGAACCATGACCATGTCTATGCACAACCATAGTAATATCGTAATTCATAATCCATCGATTAAAACCGTCCTTCCAATCGAGAACGGAGGAAAATGCAAATGCAATGAGAAAGATAGTAACAGGACGGATTTCGGATAGACATACCCGTTCCGAATCCATTGTTGATATTTACCGTGAAGTATTCGGATAGCCTAAGCGTTTTAAATAAACAAATCACATTTCTTATCGAATGTATTATGGTCGACCCTGTATTTGTGTGCATATTCATTTACTCGAAATTTAGGCTCCGTTTATATCGTGAAAAATAAATAATTTAAAAAATAATTTTATAAAATAATCGCTTGTAACTTAAAATATAGAAGTATAGAAAATTTACTATCAATGGATGGATGAATGGAGAGGTCCACTCTGTTATTTACTAATTTTTTTTTATGAGACTGCCATGGAGGGAAGGGTTTGGACTGTAGTGACAAGTGCCTGAATATGGTGGGGTCCAGTTGCAGTTGTCTGTCTGTTGAGTAGCTGCAGGAGAGTGGTCCCCACTCACAATTAGTACATGTGACAATTTTATTTTAAACTGATTTTTTTATCATAAAAAATCTCAAACTGGTATACTCATGATAAATTTACCAACAAATAATTTTTTGATAACGAAAAACCTTAAACTGGTACACCTGTGATAATTTTACCTCGAACTAATTTTTTACCACGAAAAGCCCCAAACTGGTACGCCTGTGACAATTTTACCCCGAACTAATTTTTGGACCACCAAAAACCTCAAACTGGCACACTTGTGACAAATTTACCCTCCGTTAAATTGGATTAATATCACAACAAATTACAAATTCGTAAACTTGTGACAAACAAATGGGTAAAACCCCAAATTGGTACATCCATCAACTACCACTCATCATCAAACTCAGCAATTTAATAGTAAAATTTAACGAATATTAATAAGGTAAATTTGTCACACATATATCAGTTTTGAATTTTTTGTAGTAAAAAAATTAGTTCGGGGTAAAATTGTAACAGACGTATCAGTTTGGGATTTTTCGTGGTAAAAAAATTAGTTCGGGGTAAAATTATCACGGGTGTACTAGTTTAGGATTTTTCGTGATCAAAAAATTAATTGTGGGTAAATTTATTATGGGTGTATTAATTTGAGGTTTTTCGTGATATTAACCGGAATCTATATATATTATCAACGTTGGAACATGGGTTCCTTAATGATCCATTGCCCACTTGGTGGTAATCTATACTTTTAACATTAGAACATGTTTTTCTGACCCCAAAAAAAAAAAAACATTAGAACATGGCTTCCTTAACGATCGATTGCTCATACGAGCATACTACCTTGCAAAGTTTGATTTTCTTTGTTTTGGGAAAGATCGGGGTTCGACTTGGATTCACGAATCTATAAATTTAATATTGAAACACGGGTTCCTTACCGATTGATTGCCCGCGTGGTTGCCGCATTTGATTTCTTCATTTTGTGATGGACGAGGAGTTCGGCGTGGATCCACGGCTGCTAAGTTTTAATTATACTCCATCCCCCCTACTAGTGCGGAAAGGATGAACAAACTCGAGTAAAGAAACGAGATGATAGAAGAAAAAAAACATTTTGAGGATTTGAAATGGTCAACTTAAAATTTTAAATTGAACTTCTCCTGCAGCCTTCTCTAGGACATGGTGCATTAATCATTTTACTTCAAATCCTCAATTAGGGCTTTCGACAAATAAGAGGGACGAATCGAATCGTTTTGTGTCTTTTCAAATACTATCAAGAAAAAAAAAATTACCCAAGAAGCATGATAAATTTTTTCTTAAATGAAACTAGGTAGGACGCGCAGCATCCTTCCTATTTTTAAGAAAAAAATGTAAGTGAGTGTGTTTAAACGGAAAAAAAAATAGACATATTGTAGTCGATGTGCCATCGGGGTTAGTCGTGCAAGTAAGTCTGGTCGATGAAGGTGATTCAAGCCATTGACCATCGACAACTATACAGCATGGATATCGACATCTATGAAATAGAGTTGGCGTCAACAAGTGGCCGTGAGGTGTTCGGTGAAAGTCATCGATGGACCAAACAGGGGGTTAACCATCTTAAACTTTGGCCGAGTGTTGGAAGCAAGAGGAGGACACGAGAGTAAAGATATCGATTGAAGAAAATGATACCGAATGACAATTGAGTAGCCCATTAGTTGTGGAAGTTGTAACCACTTGCGGATGAGATCGGCGTATGAATAGGAGGCCCGAAATCCTTCAAAAGGTCGGTCTGGACTGTCGATCAAAGGCATCCAAGTTATCATCTTTTTATGGACCAGCAATTTTAGTCCATGAAAATTTAGATGACTGAATTGAAGATGCTACAATCAGTTGCTATCTTTCGTCATCGCTTGAAAACTCTACAGAGTCTTCATCTAAAGATACAGGGGGAACATCCGATTTTTTATCATCTGCATTGCATGATCAACTTATTGTTTACACCTCTAATGATGCAAACTCCATTTTCAATGTTAACTTTGTGCCTTTTCCTGAAAGTTTCCCAACAAACTGCATTTTCAATGTTAGCAAATTCCAGAAAAGTCTTCACACAAAGTAAACATCTACAACAATAATATTAGTACCATTTTTGATTGTATATCAATGTAATGCGAGAGCAACGGAACAACTCTCAATCTGCCACTCATTTTTCATAGATCGAACCAGGCCATTCATTATTTATGCAAGTAAAGGCCAGTTTCGGCTACAACTTAATAAGTTGGGTTCAAGGTTGATGTTGCCGATTATGCGATATAATTGTCGATTCGGTTATGGATTGGCCACCTAGTTGTCGGTTTACAAGCCTGTTGTTGATTCCAAGTCTACTAATTGACCACCTTGCATCCAAAGGCTATTCTAATCAACTTCCATAGCTGCTCATTGCTCTTCAAAAATCACTATTCTTCAAGGATGGTGCATGAATTTGGAAGAGTCAAAGATCAAGTTTCTATATGTTCAAATGAAATTCCGGTTCCTAGGTCTTTATTGTTTTTTTCTAGTTCCTAAGTCTTTATTAGTTGAGTAGTTCCCATGCCTTTAATGCTTGGTCTATTCTCTATGTAATAGTTCCTCTATAAAAAGAGGCCAAATCTCAAATGTAAGACAGTAGACTTGCATATTGAAAATACAAGAGATTTTCCTCCATTGAGCTAATATCTTCCCCGGTTCTTTTATCCTAGGAAAGTGGATTATTCCTTGGTGGTGGACCAAGAAGCCCTTTATCCTCGGCTGGTGGTTCGTCTGTTAGGCCCTAGCGGTAAGCTTCTCCTATCTTGAAGTCCTTTATCCTTAGTGAGTGGTTCATCCATTAAGTCTTGGTGGTGAGTTTCGTCAATCCTGATCTTTATCCTTGGCTGGTACTGGTAGCGCG